TCCATCCTCAATACTTCACCGTCCGCCGGTCGCCGATGATCTCACTCTGCCCATGCTCCTTGCGAACCAGACTCATCTAGGCCACCATACTTCATTGTGGAACCCTTCCAACAGCGGGTACATATTCGGCATCAGGGACGAAATCCACATAATATCACTAGACATCACATACGCATACCTGAAACGTGCGGCCAAGGTTGTGCAGGCTGTTGCCGAGCGAGGCGGCATTGTATTATTCGTTGGTACAAGAGATGGCATGGTGGATATAACCGTCAATTCAGCCAGACTCGCAGAGGGTTACCACATCTTTCATCGCTGGGTGCCGGGGTCATTAACCAATGGACAACAAATCTTGGGCAGTGGCGGTGTCAAAATCGTGGACATGAACGACAACGTATTGACGCAGTACGACGATCTTCTATCGCGAGGGAGCCATCAAGTTATGCGGCCCGATCTGGTGGTGTGCTTGAACCCGATCGAGAATCAGGTATGCCTACACGAATGCGGAGTTTTCAACGTCCCTACCATCGGCATCGTCGACACGGATGCGAATCCGACCTGGGTCACATATCCGATTCCTGCGAACGACGACTCTTTTCGATCCGTTGCTCTGATTGGTGGTATACTGGGCAATGCGGGTAAAGAAGGCCAAAGGCTGAGAAAATTGAAGGCCAGTGAAGGCCAGGCTACATATGACACCAGCCTCGTAAGAGGCAAATTGGCCGCGCTGGAGGAACTGGCTGCCTTGGACGTGGACAACTCCAGTTCATCCGAGGCAGCGAAAGACTGAAGAGACGTGGCAATGCATCAGCTGTACTGTACAGCAATGTTGTGAGCCTGAGGCATGTACGCTCGCATCAAGTCGTGCTTGATGTTCTCAAAGATGAGACATGGTCTACTCTCCAGCTTGTACAAATCCAAATCTATTGTACAGTATATCAGCACCATCATGATACAAAGATTTTATCCTGTTGCTTACATACAGCGGAGTGTGCTGTGATTCATGCGCCGTCGCCTATCCGGGAGGAAACACTCGCTTCTCGAACTCACCAGCACCAGTAAGTAGCCCGAGAGCACCGGACTTTGCGAGTTGATCATTAACTTTGTTTTGTGACAAATTCCACGGCAATGTGTACTGAACTCGAGACATACCTGCACTTACCTCACTCACCTCTCTCCCGACCATACCATATTTGACTGCACGAAAGAGACTGTGCATGCATGTTAGCTTTTGAGGAACAGTTTACTTACCTTTCACCTATTTCTCACTTGCTTACCTTTTCTACTCACTAACTCACAGGCCGTCTCCCAAACTAGTTACGATGCTTGTTAATTATCTTGGTCGGCACGCTATCAAGGTCGACATTCGCCTTCGCAGATCGCGCATAATCTCTCCAACCAGCGTCAACATTAGCACCTACCCCCTCAACAACCAGGTCTGACAATTCACCAGAATCTGAATCATTTCCTGAAGTTCAAAAACCCTGCCTTGCGCGCAGTGGCCTCGAAGTAAAGCCAATCGAAGGCCTCTGCGGGCGTGGGTCTCCTCGGGCGTGTGACATTTTGCTCCCGGCAGAATCGAGCGAAGCCCGTGTCGCCTGCGATGCCGTGGCGGAAGCGAGCGAAGCCATCTTCATCTTGAGACTTGATGTCGGCAGGTGCGCCGAAGGGTCGTCGACATGGTGCTTCAATGACGCGAGTGTCCTCGCCTGCGTCGTTCTGAAGGGGCTTCGCGACGACGACTAGAGATTTAGGCGCGGCATCGGGTGCAGAGACCGCACGTTGGCGAGCAGGAGACTTGGTCTCGCTGGGATAAAGAACGCCGAACCGATCCTTGCGAAATCGCGCAAAATTGCCCGCTTTGGTAGCCACAGTGCTGGTAGGTGCGGCTTTCGGTTGCCTTTCTGGGGCGCCAATCTTCTCGTCTTGTGCAAGCTGCTTCGCAGGCTGGAATTCGAGGAACGAGCCTCTCCTCAACTTAGCCTTGAGTTCGTCCTTCAAAGGCGGACTGACTGCCCGGTCGCCAGCAACCGGGCTCCCCACCTGCGAGACGCTCGACACAGCAATTGAATGTCGCTTGGCGGCCTCGCGGAACTTGGCGATGAAGACTTCTCGATGTGCCTGTCGATATAACGTGCACTTGGTGCAGATATGTTCATGGGGAACTGACATATGAAGTTTGGGCAATGGTGCCCCTTTGTTGCGCATGACACATTGTCTGCCGCAAAGCTGAATTCTCTCGAGGACTTTGAAGACGCCGGTGCGGTGGCAATCCGGACAGCTGGGCTGGACGATGAGTTTGTAACCTGGTACTAACGTTAGCCTTCAAATACTGTTCAAAGCGGAACAGAGGGGGGGATGGGTCGCCAGGGGTACTTACACATGATGAAATTGTTGAACTGGGAAGGTAAGAGATAGTAATACTGTATGTGAACACGGAAAGTCGCGTAGATTTCTTCTGTGGACTTAGTATATTGGGTCGTATGGACTCACCCGAGGCGGCGCTGGCCAGATGGGCATCATATAAACCGCTATCACATCCGTCATTCACACTTCTCTCCTTGTGACATGTAGATCTACTGCATTGTCTGCATCCATTCCATAATGACACCTTTGTAGGGTATCAGCCTCGGGAACAATGACTGGCTGTCGTCGACCACTCAGAGCCGGGAGATCGAAACAAAGAGTAATTGTTAGTAGAATTAAGCGGTATACATCGCGCCACACAGGTTGCTGAATGAGGTGAATGGTCTTCGAAAGAAGTGACAATTGGGATGCTGCCCAAGGAAACCATTAATGCATATTGAACAACAGCACCATAGGCCTACAATACGGAATGGCAAAAGCACAATAACATGGAAGTGGAGAAAGTTCTTGTTTTGGAATCAGTATTTTCGAGTGGTGATGACTTGCTCAGAGCTCACCTACTATGGCTGTGTGGACCAAAGGAAAGCACTTCAGCTCTGGACTTACCGCATACTCAAAACGTCACCTAAAATCTCAATGGGGGTAACAAATCAAAATGTTTGATGTTGGCGAAGGTGATCGCTCGCTTCACTTACCTCATGGGAGGCTCGTGCGACTCCACGCGTAACTACACCTCAAGCTGATAGCTCCTCGAGCTCGATCTATCGGATCGTCAATAGATACTCCAGACCAAGTCAGATACCCTAGCGAAGGCCAGACATTTTGACGCCGTATTGCCAACCCACATACTCCAAAGAGTGTTGGCATTCATCGCAATAACCTCTGCTATCTTTGCAGCGGACGAAATCGTGGGGACCGTTCAAGAATTGACCTACCGTGCGCTTGCCATGTTTGCCGCGGGATTGTTTTGGGCTGTCTGTATTGCGTTGGGATTGGGTCGGCCTCTTCAGGCTCAGCTGGCAAGTGTGGTTGCGCCTGGAAGCAGGAGGCTTCCCACGGCGTTCCCGAGTCGATCTCCGGTTGGAAGGTGAAGTTCAGCGGAGGCAACTCCGCATCGATATCGTCTGAACTGGCCTGAGTTGTGGCGCTGCTGAGCGATGGTACAGGGCTGTGAAATTTGGCGGCAGCCTGTGGAAGACTGCTGGGCAATGGCTCTTTCCGCGCGCCAATCTCTTTTAGCAGCTCACTACCCAGCAAGAAGTTGGCACGCTCCTCGAATTCTGGATCACTATCCAAGATGTTGTGACACCAATGGACATCATCCTGAATCTCACTCAGCGACCAGGCATTTCGGCATGGATCGGCGAGGATGCTTTTTGGGAGTGGTCTCGTAGGCTGGGCGGGGGCAGGTAGCTTGGTAGCTGGACGGCCGACTTCTGTGAAAGAACAGGCAAACAGACCTCTTGCATTCTTCCAGGCACAGTCGGCACAAGCGACTTTGAGTATTTCCTCTACATGCTGTTGGCGATGAGGCAGAGGAGTACGAGAACGGTAAGGACATTTTGCGGTAGGAGGGCAGGCTTTCTCCTTGATCTCGGGTTGGATGTCGCTCACTATCTCATGACAGTAACGACACCTGGGCACAAGTGTATAAGTGTAGCACATGGTGTATAGTTGCTCTTGATTTGTCGGGGAAAGTGGTTGGAGCGTCAGTAGTTTTCTTGACACAGACTGGTCTTCTCTGTGGCTGTTGAATAGCGCGGAGAAGGGGCTCACCAGGCTCGACGGGCTCTTATCTCCTCGAGCACCGAGGCCAACGCCTTTTGAGCCCTGATGTGCTTTGTGTGCTCGGCTTTCATGGCTTTGTCTGGGTCGTAGATGTTCAGAAGCTCCTTTGTGCGCATAGATTCCATTATGAGACCATTACATAGATATCCATTCAGCCGGCGCCGAAAACAAAGAGAGATCGAATTGCACAGACGAGCTGAAACCGAGTGAATGCGGTGTCCCATCGCGGCGTTAGAGCTACTTCGATTCGGCGCGCCGGGTGGAGCGAATGTGAGCCTGAGATAAAGATGCTGGTCAGAAGAGAAGAGCGAGGAGCTGACCCAATTGTCGGCGAAAACAAAGAACAGAACGGTGCAGGTGGCCGAAAGAATAGACAGGAAGAGAAGGAAAGGAGATATCAATGTCGACAGCTTTGAGAGGAACAATGACGTCTGCTCTACGGTGGAGGGTCGAGCCAACGTAAGACCGTTAATCTCTCTCTACCTAGGTACTGGTCTCTAAGGTGTGCAGACTTCACAGCTCACAGTAGGTTCCTGTCCTTTCCTGCATGCCTAAATTGACGATATCATGAAAACCTCTGGCTCGGGCCAGTAACCCGACCTTCTCAAAGATCGCTCCTTCACTGTCGACAAGGGTGCAGGACTTACATCGCGACGTCATGTTGTCGTCGCGCCCCTTGAGCTTTCTCGAAAGCCTCAGGGAACCACCTTCCTACAATTGGACCATTTCCCAAGAATCTAAGATATATATTCCACAGAGCCGGAAAATCGCTCAAAAATCCCAAACACAATTGCCGGGGTGTGAGTCGAGCAGTATGAACCTCAGCCCCTCCTTCTTTCTGACAACAAATAGGGCTCAATCGGTAGAGCGTGAGGCTTCGAACCTCAAGGTTGTGGGTTCGAGTATGTGCCGCCTACCTTCTTGACAAAACGAAATCTAACATCGGACAGGTCCCATCTGTGAGTCATTTGAGATTCGCGGTGTGAATGTTACAGACTAATGTTGTGTGAAGTCGGCTCTGCTCAGTCCTCAGAATGTCTTTTTTTTGTCTACCTTTCGCCTGGACGGGTGTGCTCTGTCTTGCCTGAGTTTGTTTAAAATGAGTACCCGTCCCCTCCTTTTGTTTCCCGACCAAAGGTGGCCAATTACACCCTGCCAGTCTCACCAACCACCATCATCGATTCCACTGAGGGCTTTCTTCCTTTCAGCAGAATGGGGGCGTTGCATCAGATGTCCACAACTTCACCAGATTCCTGCCCGCAGGCAAGATGCCTTCTGAAGTTGCGATAACATGATACAGCGAGCGGTGTACATGTACCTTGCTGTTATGTTCGGTGCCCTCATTTCAACTCCAGACTCTGGAGTCCAGAGTCCTGAGCAGCGGCTTTGTCAACTTCGGGCTGCAGAACCTAGTGCTCGATGTCCATGAGGCCAGCTGGGGTACTGAAGCCGGTGAACCAGGTCGGAGGACTGAGTGCACTGGGCCAGTCCGACTGCTCGGAAGTCGCTGCCGGATTATTTGCGCTCACCGACTGCTGTGCAGCGAGGAGTCTTTTCAAGATCGATGCTGCAGGATAGTTGTCTTCGAGCGCACCGAGGAATTGCTGGTACGTCCCGAGTGCGCCTTCCCTCGGCTTCTCTGACGGCGACTTCTTCACATACGTAAGAATAGCTGGTACAAGAAGAGGTATTGTAAATGGAGCAACGTATGCGGTCGTAGCATCTGCGAGGAATATTTCCACCACAGAGGTCGTGCCTTCCGCCGCCCCCTGCACTTTTTCTTCGTCTCCTCTCGCTTGGTATAGCGCTATTGACGCGGCATGGCGATGGAGTTGCAAGTGACGACTAACAACTTTGATTTGTAGTGTCGCTTCTTCTCGACCTCGTAGGCCCATCTCGTCCTGCAAGACGTTAGTCCAGCCGGATGCATCTATTCGCTTGCTCGTCAGGAATTCTCGCAGAATGTCGGTAATTGCGACACTTTGCTGCCACATTATGAGAAACTCAGATACCTCTTTCACGGTATAGAGGTCCTCTCCTTCCACAGTGATGTTGCGAAACTGATAATCGGATGTAGGGCGTACCGGACAAGTGCAGTCCGCTTTGTTAATACGCAACGGTCTTCCCATGCCGAATGCAAGCCAGACATCTCGCAACATGCAGCACCGCCACAGATTTCGCCACAAGCTTCGCCGTTGAACAAAGTTTGGCTCAGGTCCAGGTTTCAGATCGCGATGCAGTCCAAGTGTTTGGCCAATACTGAAAGCGATGCCAGACCAATACCACGATTGTTTGGTGTCTTCGGCCTCGGCAAACCAGAAACTGAGGAGGAGGGTCGACTGTACCAGCACAAGTTTGTCATTCTCGTGAGAGAGATCGAACAAGAGTTTCGCACGTTGCACAAAAGACTCTTTGATGATCTTCTGCGAACATCCGGGCACGTAACTTGCTGCTACAGAAAACATGCTCCATAGAAGGAGCAAATTAAGTTTTGAAGTGCCGCCGGCGGCGTAATCTCGTAGGAAGGATGGCCCATCGAGAACCGGAAACGAGGGATGGACAAAGCGGAAATAAGACCTCACAAGCTCGTCACTGTTGGATGGAAGTGAGAAACACCCTTTGGCTTTCAGATATGCCAGATCCTCCAGGTCAAGAGCCTTCTCTGTCTCTGCCGGGATGAAGAAGTGACGGCGTGTGACAGTCCCCGCTGCGTCCAAGATGTTGCCATAGCCACCTTCGCCGACGAAGATAGGCACCGATTTGGAGCTTGGCTGAGCCACGGCGGCTGCAACAACTCTGTCTGGATCTGGGTGGGTACCCGTAGTTGCGACACTGGTCTCATCCTGGAATTCCTCGCCGGAGATGGCGCTGGAAGCGCGAGCTTTCCTTGCTCGAGTGCTTTCATCGATCTCAGCATGTTCATTCCTTGTCCATGAGAGTGGCTCACCTATATGGCTTCCTGGCCCGGACCCTGCACGTTTCTCCAAGCTCGGAGCATTTTGAGCAGGGAACTTTTGTCACATCGACATCACAACGAACTTTCTTTCGATGACAGGCTGAACAGACACTAATCGCGCGTCTCCGTGGCATGGCCACATCCACACTTGTTCAGCCGCTCATGCTCGAACCACATCTGCATCGTCGAGAAGTCAAGGATGGAAGCCTGACAAATTGAGGACCGGCCACAAATGCATACAGACGATGAGACACAAATCATCCTGACATAAGCCGGACATCCTAGGGTGGAGTTTAAATTACCCATTGCATACGGAGGCGTGTAGGCCCCTGGTTGACCAACAACAAAAGAGTGGGCCGGGCGGCCCTAATTGCCGGAAACTTACAACTTCTGTGCTCTGTAAACTTACAACTTCTGTGCTCTGTCACAGATACCTCACAATTCAGTTCAACACATCACCACAGTCGAGCATCCGTATTGTTAACGGTGCCGTTGCATTAGATAATGTTTCTGAACCAAGCGCATCTGGATATAGAGTGAGTAAGTGACACCCACCCTTTGCAACAAAGTTCGCATTTTCAATGCTTGATGCTCGCAAGCTCTCATCTGGTGGCTTCGACTCTATATATGGAATTGGCTTTGTCAACAGACCTTGGTTCGAACGAGCGACCAGATTGGTCTGGATGGTTGCGCTCTACCCGCGCATCTTAACCCTTTCAATAAGGGGCCCTTGGCATTTTGGATGTTGTCTCGACTGGTTTCCTCTCATGTCTGAAGCTAACCACTTTTGGGCTGTTGTCGAATTTACCGAAGCAAGCTCTTTCGGTTGTATTGGAGCGATGCCTCTACGAGACACCATTCTCAAAATCTCCCTTCCAAATCTCTCAACGACACAAAGCCACCTCGTCGCCTTGTCTCATCATTGCCTTGGGACCGCCGGGCTGGAATGGTTGGGATATACCTGAATGATTTTTGGTGGCGTGCACATACGAGAGCTGAGAGTAGGCTCGGTGTCCGTGCTGATCGTTTCCATCCCGCTCTGGTTTTGATCACGTATGAAAGGCTCTCCTCTTCCTCGTTGACTGCTGAACATATGGCTTCCTGATATGCGTTCTTGATCGGCCATTCCAGCATTCACACTCATTTTTTCCCTTTGGTCCTGCTAGGACCGTCCACTCTTTCTTGGTGACGCTCGTCGCCGTCCATTTCTTCTCGTTATTTATGTGTATCTCACCAATCTCGAAATGAAGGGTGCTTTCGGAACCTTCGCCCTTGCTGGCGCAATCAGTTCCTGTCTCGGGCAGGCGCTGGGCAAATGGGGTGACTGGGAGATCGTGACGACTACTGTCACAAACGTTCACTTTGTTTGCCCATGTACCACCGACGGATTTGCGCACTCTTTGCCCACGTCCCATGCTTCAGAGTATCGCGGACATCCAGGTCATACTTCATCTGTGCCTTCTGGATCCGGTTTCGCGTCCAGCACAGCCTCATGTCCTGGCCATACAACCACTTCTCCAAACTCCGCCAGTAGTGAGGTGACATGGCAAGATTGGGCTACTCTTCCAGAGTGACCCACAAAGCTACATCCAGTGGCTGGTCTCGCCCTGGCGGAACATCGTCTTCTGGGTCGATATGGTCCACAGCTTCAACCTCGCGCAGCTCAAGAAGTCATTACACATATTCGAGTTCAAGCACATTGAGTAGTTCGACTACTTTATCGACAAGTGCTCTGACAACCTCGTCCACAAGTAGCTCCAGCTTGTCTTCAACCACTTCCCCGACAGGGCCCTGCGCAACCATATTGCAAGTGAGTGTCCGGTTCTGAGTGATACTGCATTAGGACCCTAAATGAGATGAGCAGGACCAAATCCTTACGGTCGATGGCGGCTTCGAGGATGTTGAGGATAGTGCCTTACTCAGGCAGTACTTCACGAGCGGTAGCTGGACTGTCTTCGGAACAACGTACATCAATTACAACGGCAGCCCCGATGGCTACACGACCCCCTATGGCTCAAAATTTATGTATGTATTTCCCAAGAACTCAAACCTCGACATACTCTGTGCATTGGGTCCTCAGTTTCTCTGCTTTCAACACAAAGTTTATTTCGTGCTGACCTGGCTCTGACAAATAGTGCCTTCCTTGGTGATGCAGCAAATTCCGCCCTTATGTCTCAGCAAATCGCGGGCCTGGTTCCTGGAACTGCATACACTCTGGGCTTTGACTACAGCATCCCCTTTTCCAATGAGGAAGAAGACCCTCTCGCAATACCTTGCTCTTTGTTGGTCAGCCTGGGTGGTAACCCCCCATTGCCCGGTGTCGTTCTATATCGAGGTCCAGCTCGACCGGCGTGGGTTCGCGTTGACGATGTCCCAATCGTGGCAGGGGCGTCAAATAATATCCTGGAGTTCGGCTGGGATTGTTCTGAGTTGGGGCCGTCAGAAAGGGTTGATTTTACTCTTGATAATGTCGTCCTCGAGAGAGCTTATTGTGTTCCTCCAAATCCGTCCTCGACGTCTTCAACCACTTCTGCAACTTCGACCACGTCTGTGAGCACTATCACAACTACCACCTCTTTGACCACTACGACGACCACGAGCTCGACTACGACAAGCAGCGTTTGCGTCGCCCCGACTCCAACTTGTGTAAGTCCACTTCGAGCCCAAAGTGGCAATATTTGATGCTGACTCGCCGGGCCTGCAGGATGTCATTGTCGATGGAGGCTTCGAATGTGTCGCGGAAGATGCATTGAATGAGGCTCCCATTACGAGCGGAGGCTGGACAGTCAGTACCGGTGCCGTCTTTCAGCAGAACGGCGGTAATAGCATCACCACCACGCCGTTTGGGACTAAATATGCGTAAGTCTTCGACCTCTGAGGGGAGTTCAAAGACTCTTTTCCTGTGGACTGCATGCTTCTCAGGTTTCCCTGCGTTCTGAAGCACGCGCGCTGACAGTATCCCTCGTTGG